GTCGCCGGCGGAGGCGGGCGCGGGCGCGTCCCTGTGGCCAGTCACCCGGAGGAGTTGGTCGCACAATTATGAAAGACTCGGCTTCTGCTGCTAGCGTCGGAGCTGAGTTAGTTCTGAGAAGGTTTCCCTGGGCGTTCCTTGTCCGGCGGCCTCTGCTGCCGCCTCCGGAGACGCTTCCCGATAGATGGCTACAGGCCGCGGAGGAGGAGGAGGTGGAGTTGCTGCCCTTCCGGAGTCCGCCCCGTGAGGAGAATGGTACTAGACCCAGGCAGGCCCGGGCGGGGAATGGTCCTGGGGTTGCGGGCGGTAAAGGAGAGACTTGGCAGGCAAGTTTGTAGGGAGCTGCGTTCCATGCGGCGAAGTACCCCCAAATTGCCTTGAGGCTTCCGGATTTGTCGGAACGGGTCGCGGGACGGGTGTGCAGTTCGTTCGGGGGTGAGGGGCGGGAGCAGGTAGCAAGTCCGACGCGACATCTCTTCTCGGGAATCCCCTGAGCCGAGACTCGGCTCCCAGCGAGGGCCTCTCGAGGCGGCAGAGGCGCGAGCCGGGGACTGCTTGGCTGGGCTGAACTGAGCGGCCGCAGCGCGCCCGACGCAGCGCTCAGCCTTCAAGCCCCGCATCTCCTGGGAGCACGGTCCTCCTGGCGCCAGTTGCTGGCAGATAAGGGAGCCAAATGCTCTGCTCAAGTTCTGCATGGAAAAAGGGAGGGAGGGCTGGAAGGGTGCAAAAAGAGGGTAGAGGACACGGGTTTGGAGCAGTGCCTTGTTTGCTGTGCAGCGGTTACTCTACAGGTACATTTCCTTTTTGGAGCCAAAACGGAGGGATTTGACAATATTGATAGTAGATCTTTTTTCTTTAGCAAGAATTAAGGATTTTGGTGGGTGGGGGGAGACTTCTGTGGGGACCAAGACGATGTACTGTCAGTCAGGATTTAAGTCGAACTACCTCATCCGTTGCCCCAGAGAACGGCTGATCGTGTTTTAACCCAAAAGGTGCGGAATGGAGAGAGGGAGGCGGTGCATTGCAGCTTCCGATAGAGCTTTTTATTTTTGGATCTCAGGAACCAGTTTTGAAAATTTCTTAAAAAGAAAGTCATTTACATCAGGGACATGAAGAGCAGAGTAGGTATTTTTGATCAGTACTTGAATATAATAGGCTTTGTGCAAACAACTCTCCCTCTGCTGGAGTCCGGCAAGTTTGCTTTTCACTGGACGCTATTCAAGTGCCATACAACACTGAAATAAGAGTTTTACTTATACCACAAGTGTAGTAATACTTTGAATAGATAATGTGCCTTCCACTATTTTCCACCTTATTCTTTTTGTTTGTTTGTTTTGAGACAGGGTCTCACTCTGTCACCCAGGCTGGAGTGCAGTGGCGCGATCTCTGCTCACTGCAACCTCTGCCTCCCGGGTTCAAGCGATTCTCCTGCCTCAGGCTCCCGAGTAGCTGGAACTGTAGCCACCATGCCCGGCTAATTTTTACATTTTTAGTAGAGACGGGGTTTCACCATGTTTGGCAGGCTAGTCTCTAAAAACTGACCTCAGGTGATCCACCCACCTCAGCTTCCGAAAGTGCTGGGATTACAGGTGTGAACCACAACGCCAGGCCAACATGGGAGATTTCAAACATGCGAAGATATATTGTAGAATAAACTACTATATATACCCATTGGCCAGTTTCAACAGCTTCAACCATGTGAATTTTATTTCTTCTATTACTCCTCCTGTTTTTCCTCAATGGAATGATTTTAAAGCAAATCCCAGACAAATGTCATTTATGGATACTTTATTGTGTTTATGTCTAAAAAGACAAGGACTTTTTAACATAACTACAATATTATTATCACACCTAAAAATGAATAATTGCTTAATATTGAATATTCAGCATATTTCCCTGATTGTCTCTTGTTTTAGTCAGTTGATTTGTTTGAATCAGGTTACAAATAATTCTGCAGATAGCATTTGGTTGGTAACTCTTTCAGTCTCTAGTACCTTCTCTCTTGGGGTGTGGGGGTGTCGTTTGCCATTTATTTGTTGGAAAAAAAACCCCCATCATTTGCCCTGTAGAATTTCCATCAGTTTGGATTTTGTCGAATGCATCCCTGTAGTGTCGTGTAACATGTTTCTTTCTCTGTATTTTTTTTTTCTTTTTTCTTTTTGTTTGAGACGGAGTCTCGCTCTGTTGCCCAGGCTGAGTGCAGTGTAGTGTTCTCGGCTGACTGCAACCTCCGCCTCCTGGGTTCAAGTGATTCTTCTGCCTCAGCCTCCCAAGTAGCTGGGACTACAGGTGCGAGCCACGACACCCGGCTAATTTTTGTATTTTTAGTGGAGACGGGGTTTCACCATATTGGCCAGGGTGGTCTTGAACTCCTGACTTCTGGTGATCCACCTGCCTTGCCTCCCAAAGTGTTGGGATTACAGGTATGCCCCAGTTTGCCCGTTCTTTTCTCTTTATTTCCTGTGAACTAGTAGTTAGTCTAAAGACTTGATCAGTAGCCGGGCGTGGTGGCGCTCGCATGTAATACCAGCTACTCAGGGGGCTAAGGCAGGAGAATAGCTTGAACCTGGGAGGTGGAGGTTGCAGTGAGGGGAGATGGGGTGCCACTGCACTCCAGCCTGGGTTACAGAGTGAGACTCCGTCTCAAAAAAAAAAAAAAAAGAACTTGATCAGGCAGGGTGCGGTAATCCCTACACTTTGGGAGGCGGCGACAGGCAGATCACGGATCACTTGGGGTCAGGAGTTCAAAACCAGCCTGGCCAACATGGTGAAACCCCGTCTCTAAAAATACAAAAATTAGCTGGGCATTGTGATGGGCGCCTATAATCCCAGCTACTCATTAGGCTGAGGCAGGAGAATCTCTTGAACTTGGAGGCGGAGGTTGTAGTGAGCCAAGATCACGCCATTCACTCCAGCCTGGGTGAGATTCTGTTTCAAAAAAAAAAAAAAAAAGAGAGACTTGATCGGATTCTAGTTACATGCTTTGACAATATTCATAGATAGTACTATGTACTTTTTATTGTATTACATTAAGAGGCAAATACTGTCTTTTTTTGTTTTTTGAGATGGAGTCTTGCTCTTTTTTTGTTGTTGTTTGTTTTGTTTTGTTTTAGGACAGAGTCTTACTCTTGTTGCCCAGAGTGGAGTGCCTGGCTTACTGCAACTTCTGCCTCCCTGGTTCAAGCGATTCTGCTGCCCCAGCCTCTGGAAGCTGGGATTAGGGGCGTCTGCCACCATGCCCGGCTAATTTTTGTATTTTTAGTAGAGACAGGGTTTGCCATGTTGGCCAGGCTGGTCTCGAACTCCTGACCTCAGGCGATCCATCCACTTTGGCCTCCCGAAGTGTTAGGATTACAGGCGTGAGCCACTGCACTCGGCTTCTTTTTTTTTTTTTTTTT